CAGGCTAGGGTGGCTTTTTGCCTCAGCTGAGGCAAAAGGTCATTGTTTCCCCCATCTGAACAGATGTTCCCAGACAAAAGAAAACCGAAGACAAGTTGTCCAGGCAGAACTGAGGTCTAGAGGACATATCAACAGTTAAAGAGGAAGGAAACTCCACAGAAATGTCATACCTATAACAATGACAGCTAACAAAAAAAATTCAGATGATTTAGAATGTAAACAGCTCCATACCTAGTTTCTAAAAATAGAAATGGAAGGGAGGGGACAGGTCTTCCAAGAAGTCTCTCCCTTGATCTGTCAAGTAAGCACTTAATGAGAATCCAGTGCTTTGTATCAATTATCTCAACAATTCATCCAACAAAAGTACAAGGAAGACCAGTATTATTACCCCCATGAGACTGAGAGAGTAGGTTGTGCTATCCCCTGAGGTAATTCTTGAGGTGATATCTGAATTGGTTCACATCCCACACTGTTGCCTGCCACAAGAAGTCCTTATGCTCATCCTAGATAACGGCATAAGTTAAGCCTGCCGGATACGACCAGTGGTCCACCTTAGTCAAGCGTACTGGTCCACATTGTGCCCAACCAGTTGCCTTGGAGGGGCAAGTAAACAGGGCATAAATGCTGAGGCCCACTCCTGATGCTGTGTCTGAGCTTTGCACTAGTATTCAGAGGCTTGCTGCCTCTGTATATGGATTCATCATGGATAGCAGCCATTGGTGGACTTCTCCTCCATGAATCTGTCTAAACCCCTTTACAAGCCATTTCTGCCTGTGATGATTCAGTGGCAGAAGGAAAGCACCCTGTAACCCCACCCACATCTCTTACCTCCCAAATTCCAGTGCTGAGCCCTGCTATTGATAACAGGTCAAAAGTCTTTGCTCCAAGGAAGAGCAGTGCTAATTAAGGCCATCTGAGTCAGCACCTATATAAAAAGGCCGTCTCACACAGAATCAGACCAACAGCCCATCCAGCCCTGTATTAACTGACCTGATCAGTGTTAACTCTCCACAGACACCAGCACAAGTTTTGCTTTCCTGTCCAACTGCTCCAAACCCTTATTAGTTGTATTAAGGATTCAGACCTTGTATATTCAATAAAATCCTATGCAATGAAATCCTATGCAAAGTTATTCTGTTGACTCCAGTTGGTTTAGACTGCATAGGATTGCATTGGCAGACCAATACGCTCTATTACTGAGCAAAACAGTAATAGTTTTTTATAGTGTTTGGCCTGGGTCCAGGGAGAGAGCATGACAGCAGTTTAGAAATCTAGGAAGTGTGTGTAAATATAAATGGAGAGGAATAATTCCTCTCTTTCTCTCTCAAAACACTAGATTTCTGAACAACAAAAGGAAATACTTCTGTATATAACATTTAAGAAAAAGCTGCTTAAAAATAATTATAACATATATATAATACATGAATGGCATTCACCACCATGTGGAGTTGCAATGACACCAAAGGGTTAGAGGAAAGTCAGGAAAGAGTAGAACATCAATGTTCACTTATGATGATAAGGCGCTGAGGAAAGCAACACATGCTTTTTTAAAAAAATCGTTAGAGACCACCTTTCCCCACCCAGTAGGCCAAAAATACAGCATAAAAACAGCTTCTTTCCACTGTGCTCGGCTTGGGAGCTTCCCAAGGAGCAGCTAGCTAGCCACTTTAGGGAACAAGACTATTTGGAACAGATGGACCTTGAGTATGGTTTAGGATGATAGATCTTATAATGCTCACTGATGGCTGAATCCTTGTGTGCTGGAAGGCAGCTGTTTAAATGATGCAGCATGGGGCTTGAGATTCAACAGCTGATGAGGCAGTATGCTGTAATGAGGCCTGTTCCTTACAGCCATTTTGGGAATTTGGGACTAGCCAGCTAGTCTGTTAGAGTTGCTATCCCCTCGATGGGGACAGGGGTTCCCCTGATTTCAGGAGGCCCAATCCGCCACTAGCCAGCTGGCCAGCAGGGGGAGCCCCACTGTGCCTGGCGTAGTGATATCACCTGGAGGTGATGTCATCATACCAGGCACATTGTGCGGGGACACAGGGGCACTGGAATGATCCAGGTGCCGATCCACAAACTGCATCTTTTTGTCCACTTCTTCAAGGTAGATGTCCAACGGGGTGCTGAGTAATTTTTTTTCCTGAATTGGGGGCAGTAGGCCAAATAAGTTTGGAAACCTCTGCTGACCATAGAGTTTTTGGCCAAATGCTAGAGCATCCTCTGCATGATGTGCCCGCCGAGATGACATCACTTCCAGGTGACAACATCACGGCACATGCCAGAAGATCCCAGGCAGCAGGATGAAGCCCCCCGACAGCAGTAGGCAGGCATCTGGTAACCCTGCAGTGTAGAGATTAAGCTTGCCAACCTCCATGTGGGGCCTGACGATCTCCTAGAATTACAAGTGATCTCCAGTCTACAGAGATAATTCCCCCGGAGAAAATGGCTGCTTTGGAAGGTGGACTCTATGGCATTATAACCTCCCCCTCCCCAGGCTCCATCCCCCAAATCTCCTGGAATTTCCCAAGCCATATTCGGCAAACCTAGTAGAGATGCAGCAGCTGTGGATATGGGGGAAGGTGGATCAAAAGGGAAAAGTGGTAGGAATAGGGGTGACTATATACCTCCCCACTCCCACAAAAGCAGGTGGAACAGATGACTGGAAAACTTCCCTCACTAATGGATCCCCATTCCCCAAACCCAGTACTATTTTACTTCACATTGCGGGGAAGAAATTCAGAACAGCAAATTAGACATTCCTGGAGTGGAGAGGGGGAGGGCAAAATAGTTTATCATCTTGTTTTGTTGCCATATAGCCAAGCAATGTCTGTTCACAATCTGTGTTCAGTGATTTTTAAAGAAATAAATATATCCTGTTATACAGAGCAGCAATTTTGATTTACATACGTAAAGAGATGATTCTGCTTGCATCCAGATGTTTAGAAAAGGAAGCGACTTGTATCCCCAACCTCCCTTTTGGTCCCTAAGAGGCTATAAACTGCTGGGTGATGCAAAGCTCTATGTATTCCCAATTCCCGCAGCTCAGACCCAAAAATGCAGACATTACCATAAATGGGAAAAAGAATCAGGATTTATAAACAACTCAGATGGATCTGATACCATCAACTAGGCCTCAGACATTCAAGTTAAAATTTATTAGCTAGAAACAGAGAAAGAGTAGCAGAAATAGGGGGAAATAAATTTAAAAATAATGTTGATGGTTTGAGACAGTTTATATGACCCTAACATTTTATAAATTAAGTCAGTTCGTGCTGGTATCACAAAATGGCTGCCTTTAACAAGCCATAACTCATGGGAAAGAACATGTTCGTTTTAACAGTGTCTTTTAAAAGAAATATAAAAATCTGAAGTTTAGAAACTTTTATTTCTTCGTCATGTTATTATAAAACTAGCCATGTTACTCTGAAGGAAACAAAAATGAAGAGACGGCGGAACTGTATGGATGAGTAAGTGTGTGTTTGTTCATTTGGACAGGAGAAAAGGGAGCCAAAGAGATGGTGTTTGGTTAGGCCAACAACAATTTCCCTACTTGTGGTTGCTATTTTGTTTCTCGGAACAATCGACTCTTGACAAACAGAGAGCTGTGAATGGGAAAAGGCAGGGGTGAAAGTTGTGGGTACAGGCTGGTGTGGAGTACTGGTAAGAAACTGGCCAAAGGGGTACTTCCTGTTTTCTACTTTGAGAAACCAGAGAAAGACAGTACCAGTAAGACATTTAAAGTGTCACAATCAGAACAGCTGGCTGTGTTGACAGCTGCTTGTCTGCAAAAAGACCTTATGATTATTCTAAATACTAACAAATTTATTGTGGCATAAACATTTTATGAGATATATCTGGACCAGTGTGCTCTTCCTCATGAATATGTCACAGTGAATGCCACAATGAATATGTTAGCCTTTCAAATATCATAAGGTTCTTGGATCCCCCGCTCCCAAAAATATGCAAAGTCTGTAAAAATAAGTGACTTGAGAAACAGCTGGGCTAATTTTGACCTCAGGTGCTTATGTTTGGGAAGTGAAAGATGTCATTTAAGAACATAAATCTGAGCTTGCTACAACTCTAAGATAAGGGCTGAAATTGTATTTTTGTACACACAAGGACTATCTAGTACATTTTCATTCCACAGTTCCTCCAAGGAGCTCAGTGCAGTATACTTGGTTCACCTTTATTCTCACAATAACTCTGCACAGCAGGGTAGACTGACAGGAGTGATTGGCCCAAGGTGAGCTTTATGGAAGACGGGGGATTAGAACCCACGTCTCTCAGATATACTGTAACACTTTAGCCACTATACCATCTCACTTGATTTTCAGTGCTATACAATGAACGACTGTCCCAGTATTCCCACTTCTTATAATGGGAATTGCATTGTTCAAAACATTAAATGCAGCCCAGTGGTCTGTGGATATAATGTTTGTGACCTCAGGTGTGAATGTGGCCAGGCACTTGGGCTGTCTTAAAGCTCGATTACAGATGTCCCTGTTTGTTTCTACAGTTAGCGAATGATAATATCAGTCAGTGGTTTGGACATGGTGCAGAATTAGATCAATACTTTAAATCTGAAATAACAGATTAATATGCCCTTTTATGGATTTATCTGGGGAGGATAGTTTCAACATGATGCCTTTGAATCATGAACTGATATTTGACTAGCTGGCATAAGAAATGCTCAGCAAACACATCAGAAGGGGATTTTATTGTTGTTATGGTGGTGGTGGTTATCTATAAACACAGGAATGCTTCATATGTGCAATGAAGCTCCTGTGAACACCAGCATAACAATTCCATGTCTCTAGGAATCTAAGTAAGATTTGGTGAATGTGTTGTATTTGCAGATAAAAGTTACAGTTTAGAGAAGTAACATAATCAGCGGGAACAAGGTTGTCATATTTCAATACAGCAGATTACTGTTCATGTCACGTTTGCAATTTCTTTCATAGACTTTAGATTGAAAATATAAGTAACAAACTTACCCAAGATCTTTGATCAGGCAATTGGAACTGGGAGCAAAATTGAAACAAAAACAACACATTATTCCCGCATTTGGATCCTTTATTGCAATTAATGTATAAATCATGATAGAACACGTTGGCCTTTAAGGTGCCATGACTCTCTGTTGTTTCACTACAGGAACTAACATGGTTACCCTTCTGGAAGTGGATTGTGTCTGAGAAATCAGGCCAATGCACATGAGAGAATTAAAAACGGTTAAAGTCAGTGCCAATATTTCGCTTGAGTGCCATTCAAGGCCACAAAGGGGAGTGTATGGAGGGAAACAGGAGAATACATTATCAACACTGGCTTCCAAATCATAACCATGGCTGAAAGTAACCAGTACTACATACGCACTGGCCTGTGGTATCTAAAAAGGCAACTATGGCTGTTAGAATTTTTACATTTCAAAGCTGGCTTTCTGAAACAAAAATCAAGGACTTCTGTACTTATTAATCTATTTTCTACAAACTATCCTGCATCCTCTCAGCTGCACACTTCTGAGGCAGATTAGAACAACAGTCAGCAATAAACAATAAAGTGTTACATTAATTTAAGCAGGGCTTTTTTTGTAGAAAAAGCCCAGCAGGAGTTCATTAGCATAATAGGCCACACCCTGACACCACAGCTCATTAGCATATTAGGCCGCAGCCCCTGTTGCCAGAATTGTGGTCATCCAGCCACACCCACCTTTTGCTTCTTATTCTGTTTACCTTGTTTGTTGTCAAAACCCAGGGCCTTTTTTTGTAGCAGGGACTCCTTTGCATGTTAGGCCACACACGCCTACTGTAGCCAATCCTAATGAGTTTCTGCTGTTGGGTGTGGCCTATTATGCTAATGAGTTCCTGCTGGGTGTGGCCAACTCAGGAGCCAGCCGGAACTCCATTCCTGTGCGTTCCTACCCAAAAATAGCCCTGAATTTAAGGATTATAACCACCTGGTGCCTAAAGCAAGTTAAAGTAGGCCTCAGGTGATGTGCTCTGAGGAGGAAGTTCTACAAATGTGATGCCACCACTGAGAAAGTCCTATCCCTGATAGGTACCACCTAACCTCTGAAGGGGGCAGCACACCGCTGGGGAGCAGAATGCACTTTAAGGGCACTTTTCGCTTAAACACTGGTCCTTTCCGTATTTGCCTGCCACTCCGGATGTTCTCAGTGTTCGAGTTGAGGCAATTTAAGTCCCTGGCAAGACAGCACCCAAATAGCCCGGGGCAACAGCAGGATGAAACTGGGCTGACCACTGAAGGGAGGTGATGTAATGCAGAATTGAGGAGGAACCCGGAATAAAAAGAAGGTTGAACTCAATTTTAGTGCAGAATTGCTCGGAGGACAACGTGGTGAGCATGGATTAAAAGGAGAGTGCAGAACGGGCCCTTGTCTACATGCTCTGGCCCCGATATTGAGGTTTGCTGTCAGGCCTGGAAAAAACTGACAGAGGCTTAACGCATGAGAAATTTTTCATGGTGTGGAAGTCAACAACATCACATGGTAAACAAAATCCTATTAAAGTACAGTTAAAAGGACAAAACATTGTTTTCTTCCAGGCAGCTGGCAACCATACTAACATATTTTTTCAAAAAAATCTGTTTGAAATGATCAATATTGTTAGAAAGTTTCTCACTGCATGATCTGGATTTGTACTAATAACAGTACTACATATAAACGGGGCCAAATTCGGCTTCTGGAACCAAAGCAACAGTTTTCTTAGTGTGCTCTGCTCCTCACAGAGCAGGCAATGGGGGCTGCCCTTGGCATGTGAAGATCAACAGATCTGAATGACTGGGAAGGACCTTATTTTAGCTCAGTAGGATAGATAACAAAAACTTCTTCTTCTTTTTGCTATTGTGGGTACTGCACTCTTTTCAGAGTCATCCATTTGGAGCAAAGACAGCATTTCTACCTTTTGTTTTAGTGGGTTTAAAAAAAAAAAAAGTAAGATGCTGTTGCCTCTCAAATCCCTGACAGGCCAGACTACATTCGTAGTCGGTTGAGTTTGCCTTGGTGGATCACTGAACGCATAGACCTGGTTTACAGAATATGAGCTTGTGAAAAAGTCTGGCAGGATCAGGCTCAAGACAGAATCACCTCTAGAGGAGGCAAAACAGAATCAGGTCCAGGCAGGCTTGCCATTTGCCCACTGGGGGAAGGAGCTCTCCCACTGCCGGCCAGCACTCCAGCAGCTGGCAGGAGGGGGGGGGGAATGTAAAATGACTGCTGGGCAACGGGACTTCATCACTTCCATGTTTTCTCTGTCAGTGATGTGATGCCATTGCCCAAGGGTGCCCCCCCCCGCGTTCCTGCCCCCCTCCCAACTCCCACCAGTTGCTGGCCTTTGGCTGCCTTGGTTAAGAACATAAGAACATAAGAGACGCCAATGTTGGATCAGGCCAAAGGCCCATCCAGTCCAACACTCTGTGTCACACAGTGGCCAGAAATACCAGTGCCATCAGGAGGTCCAGCAGTGGGGCCAGGACATTAGAAGCCCTCCCACTGTTGACCCCCCCCCCAAGCACCAAGAAGACAGAGCATCACTTGCCCCAGAGCCCCTAGCTATACCTTGTGGCTAATAGCCACTGATGGACCTCTGCTCCATATGCTTATCTAATTCCCTTTTGAAGCCGTCCATGCTTGTAGCACCCACCACTTCCTGTGGCAGTGAATTCCATGTGTTAATCACTCTTTGGGTGAAGAAGTACTTCCTTTTATCCGTTCTAACCCGACCGCTCTGCAGTTTCATGGAGTGCCCACGAGTTCTTGTATTGTGAGAAAGGGAGAAAAGTACCTCTTTCTTTACCTGCTCTTTCCCATGCATAATCTTATAAACCTCGATCATGTCACCCCTCAGTCGTCTTTTCTCCAAGCTAAAGAGCCCTAAGCGCTTTAACCTTTCCTCATAGGGAAAGTGTTCCAACCCTTTTATCATTCGAGTTGCCCTTTTCTGCACTTTTTCCAAAGCTATAATATCCTTTTTAAGGTGTGGTGCCCAGAACTGCACACAGTATTCCAAATGAGGTCTCACCATTGATTTATATAGGGGCATTATTATATTGGCTGATCTGTTTTCAATACCCTTCCTAATAATCCCCAGCATAGCATTGGCCTTCTTTATTGCAGTCACACACTGTCTCGACATTTTCAGTGAGTTATCCACTACAACTCCAAGATCTCTCTCTTGCTCAGTCTCTGCCAGTTCAGACCCCATCAATGTGTATTTATATTTAGGATTTTTGGCTCCAATGTGCATCACCTTGCACTTGGCCACATTGAACCCCATTTGCCATGTTGACGCCCACTCGCCCATCCTTGACAGATCCCCTTGGAGTGCCTCACAATCCTCACTGGTTTTCACCACCCTGAACAACTTTGTATCATCCGCAAATTTAGCCACTTCACTGCTTACTCCCATCTCCAAATCATTAATGAACAAGTTAAAAAGCAGTGGACCAAGTACTGATCCCTGCGGTACCCCACTGCTTACCACCCTCCACTGAGAAAATTGCCCACCTACACTCACTCTCTGTTTTCTATGAACTAGCCAGTTTTTGATCCATAAAAGGACTTGTCCTTCTATCCCATGATTTTTGAGCTTACTTAGGAGCCTTTGATGAGGAACTTTATCAAAAGCTTTCTGGAAGTCAAGGTAAATAATATCTATTGGATCCCCCTTGTCCACATGTTTGTTCACCCCCTCAAAGAACACTAACAGGTTCCAGGGCAGAGGCAGGGTACGAACATCAGGTATACCATGAAAAAGTCAAAAGAGGCAGCTGAACAAGTATAGCTGGGAACAAGCCCTGGGCTCAGGGCAACTTGACATGTTATAGCAGCCACGTGAACATGGGTTAAGTCACTGGTGTGGTGAGGCTCCTGACACAGCTGGGGTGACATTATTTAAGCTGTACAAGCCTTTCTTTCAGACATTTCTGCTGATATGGCTATAGCTGCCATAGCCATACAGCAAGAAGCTTCACAGGAATGGCTTACAATGGCAAAGCAACCACCACAGGGAGTGGGATCTGCAAGCCATGTCTAGGGGATGTTTCTTAACATCACGCTGTGAAAGGTTTCAGCAGTCCATTTCCGTGAATTAAACCTTTGTTCAAGAGACAGGACAGTTCAGCTGGCAACCTTAACTGGGATCTATTTAAATGGGGTTTTGTGTGGTGATAGTAATGGGAAGAAGAAGAAGAAGAAGAAGAAGAAGAAGAAGAAGAAGAAGAAGAAGAAGAAGAAGAAGAAGAAGAAGAAGAAGAAGAAGAAGAAGAAGAAGAGGGTTAGCTCACAGTTTTTTAGCCTCCGGCTCACAAATGTTTGCCTTCGCTCAGGAAGGATGGCTCCAGAGCAAACTAATATATGCAGTAGCCAAACTGCTCGCTCACAACTTTAATGCCAGTAGCTCACAAAGTAGAATATTTGCCCACAAGACTCCACAGCTTAGGGGGAACACTGCCTGTGAGGTGGGTGGGGCTGAGAGAGTTCTGACAGAAACTGCTCTTTTTCAAGGACAGTTCTGACAGAACTATGACTTGCCCAAGGTTGTCCAGCAGCTGCAAGTGGAGGAGTGGGGAATCAAACCCAGTTCTCCCAGATTAGAGTCCACGCACTTAACCACTACACCAAACTGGCTCTCTGGGTACAGGAAAGACTTCCATGCAGGTGTCCAAGAGTAGACATGTTATTCACACACTCAGTCAACCAAAATTCCTCTTTGAACTGGGGAGGGGCAGGTATGCAGGGCACCCAACACATGTGTAAGCAGGGGTCGTTTCGTAGAAAAAGAGCTATGGGAACTCATTAGCATAACTCATTAGCATATGCCACACACCCTGACATCACCGGAAGTGTGTCATAAGGCCACACCCCCTGAATGCTCTCGCCCGCTTCGGGAGAGGGGATCAAAGTGTAATACAGGCCTCCTCCGAGACTTGATCCCACCAATCTCAACTCTCTCTTGGGTCTTGATGCCTGCCAGTCATTCCCCCTGCCTGGGGGAAGCTGCGTTGGACCAAAATACAGTCCAAACAGCTGTAAGGAACACCCGTCCACCCTGAGCACTTACAAGGTGCGTCAAATCGCCATTTTACTCCGACCAGAAGCAGGGGTGGGGCTTCGTCGTGTGCCCCACCCCCCGCCCCTCACCCGGGGGAATGGCGATCCCCCGCGATCCCCCCCAAATCGACCCCTGTGTGTAAGGCAATGTGTGTTACAGATACACTATGCATACACTCAAGCTAGAGTTGATATTCCCACCTCATACCCCACCCAAAGGGGAGGAATATGGGGAAAAACCCTACATAAGGGAAAGCCTTGCTCATGCCCATACTTAACTCATAAATGTATACCTATGGATTGCCACACAAAGAGGATACTCAGTTTGCTAAGTGTGCAGATTGACCATGTGAGACACAATTACATTTAATAATGTGCTCAATTTGGAATAGGGTATAGGAAAACAAAGCTATCTGATGAAACCTCTGCTAACAACTTTTGATGAGATCGATTCAGTGTTCCTTTCTTCCCCCCAACACATCTTTGACTTTGTGTGGTCGTGACGACTGTGACTGGTGACAGAAGTGGCCAGGGGGCCAATGCAGCAGCTACTCAACTGATGAGTGGGCAGGTAAAAAAAAAATATCTGCCTCTCTTCCTCTCCTAACTTCTCTCTCCTTCCTGCCATTGGACAAACTGAGGACTACATCTCCCAAGGTGCCCCATCATTCTTTAAACACTGGAGAAAGAAAGTGAGGGAAAGAAAGCAGGGGGGAATCTTCTTTTTGCACCCACTCATTTATCAGATGAGAAGATGGTCGCCTCAATCAAGCACTGCCAGACATAGCAACTACCAGAAGGTGAATGGGGAGATATTCGTCCCACATCCTGAGCTAGAGAAGAATCCAGGGTGTAATCTTTGTGTTCACACTGAAGGTGCACATTACAAAGTGGCAACCTGGACAGTCTCTAATAATCTTCTCTCTGCCAGTTCCTGTGCTTTGAAACAATATTTTCACTCCTACAGCCCACAGAAGATGTGGCCGAGGAGGAGCAAGTGGAGGCAATGGATATTGAGTATTTATGATTTATTACAAACTTATCAGTGCTCTATTTTTCAAGTGTAGGAAAATACAGCTTCATTTGGCATCTCTAGTTGCATCGCTGCGAGGCAGAACTGTTAACCAGCCTGCTGTTGGCTATTTGCGTCTCCTTTTGCAACAGATCCTGGGAGGCTTCAAGAAGGGCTGTGGCTCAGTAGTAAAGCACCTGTTTTGCACAATGAAGGCCACCTTGTTCAGTCTCCAGCACCCCCATACAAAGGACCTCAGCTAGCAGGTTGCTGAGAAAGGCCCTGGAGACCTGCTGCCAGTCAGAGCAGATAATATTAGACCAGAATATGTAAGACTGATTTCTGACCCGGTATTAGGCAGCTCCGTACTGCAACTGGAACCACCAATGGCTTCCATTACATTACTCCCGAGTCCCAACTAACAGTACAAGGCAATGGTTTACCAGCAGGACAATATGATTTATGGGGGAGAAATATGAGAAACAAAGGGTGTTCCCAGTATCCATGTTCCTGCTAGGCTTCCTTGAAACGTTGGTTATTGAATACTCCTAATTCTTTCAGCTCAATGCCTGTCATCGACACCTAGGTCACGACACAATAATCCTATGAAAATAGCTCTCTCACTTATCCAGCCACTTGGGGAGCCATTTACTGTAACACATCTCAGCCATGGTGGTGGGGGGGGATTAGAATTGTTTAAAACTAGTACATTTTTAATCCACAAGCAACAACCATTCTAAACAAGTGACTCCTCATGCATAAAAGACCTGATCACTTCAGAAATTAGTATCAGGATTTGTTCTCAGAATATGAAGGGAACGATGGAATGATTCCCCCCCCCCCCACAGGTTTTAGCCATTTCAATAAGAACATAGGAACATAAGAAGAGCCCTGCTGGATCACACCAGAGGTCCATCTAGCCCAGCATCCAACAACAGGGAAGAGAGGCTGAGGCTTTCCCCGATGCTGCCTCCTGGCATTGGGATTCAGAGGTTTAATGCCTCTGAATGGGAGGAGGAGGAGGAGGAGATTGGATTTATACCCCACCCTTCACTTGGAGTTTCAGAGTGGTTTACAATCTCCTTTCCCTTCTCCTCCCCAAAACAGACACCCTGTGAAGTAGGTGGGGCAGAGAGAGCTCTTTCAATGACTGCTCTTGAGAGAACAGCTCTGAAAGAACTTCTGATGGATCCAAGGTCACACCAGCAGCTGCATGAGGAGCAGTGGGGAATCAAACCCGGTTCTCCAAGATTAGAGTCCGTGCTTCTTCACACAAAGCAAGCACTGTTTTACGGGGGAAATACGTTAGTGTTTTATTTCTGCGTTACCCCATCTTGGTTCTCCCCCATCCCCAAGTCTTATTCCTTAACTTTACTTTTTTGTTACTTATTTTTTACACTTACATCCCTAGCATCCCACAAATGGCTCACACCAGTCTTTTAATCTTACAAAAACTCTGTTAGGCCTAGACCCAGCCTTTGAGCTTTACAGCTGAATGGAGACTTGAGATAGCGTTTCCAGCTCCAGTTTGGGAAATACCTGGAGATTTTGGGGGTGGAGCCTGAAGAAGGTGGCATTTGACAGGAAGGACTTCAGTGGGGTATAATGTCATGGAGTCCACCTTCCAAAGTGGCCATTTTCTCCTGGTGAACTGATCTCTGTCGGCTGGAGATCAGTGGTAATCCCAAGAGATCTCCAGCCACCACCTGGAAGTTAGCAACCCTGATTTGAGAACATGACCGCTACATACCTAAGAGTCAACCCAGACATTGTCTTGGAACCAAGAAAGAATATTCTTCACTTGGAAGAAACCTCTCTCCATTAAAGGACACCTCCTCACTTAATGAAAGGGAGACCTTCGATATCACCCATTATGTTCGCCTCAGAGATAGTCATGAAAACCTTATCCCCATGTTAACAGATTTCTCCCCCTGCTGTACTATCAGTTAGGGCTATCATATTGCGGGTCTTCATACTTTCGCCCATGAACAGAGATGCGGTAACTGCCATGCAACTTGAGTCCTTGTCAGTTGCAGTACGTAGTTTTTAGCAGCATTCTCGTGACAAAAAATATATTATGTCTGGCTTGAAGATTCTAGCCCGTTGGCTTTCATCTGATGGGTCCAGACCTGCAAGGGGGTCACAACTGACCTAAGATGGGTTAAGACGGGTTAAACCGACATCCATACATATGTATGGGGGGTGGGGAATTAAAAATGCACAGGTAGATCTTGGGACTGAAAGTTGAAAAAAAAATATATCGCATCACACTGGCTTTAAGCAAACACTTAAGATGCCTGCAAATGAACCTTGGCCTTCACACACTCAGGCTGGAAAATTCCAATGTGCTGTACCTCTTCCCTCTTGTCCTGAAACAAGCAAAAAGCCTAGGCCAGACTGTCAGTACAAACCCCTAGATCTGAGTATGACAAAGGAAGCTTTGATTCTCAAAGCTTATACTCTGGCCCTGACCTGGGTAGCCCAGGCAAGCCCAATCTCGTCAGATCTCAGAAGCTAAGCAGAGCTGACCCTGGCAAGTATTTGGATGGGAGACCTCCAGAGAATACCAGAGTCGGGAGTCCAGAGGCAGGCTATCAAGCCACTTCTCTGAATGTCCTCCATGCACCAGTAGGAGTTGCCAGAGGTTGCCATGACTTCCAGGCACGAGCACGCGCACGCACACATACACACACACAAATGCAAAAATACCAAAATAAAGCTTATACTGCAGACCAACGGGGCTACCTTCTGAAAGTATAAACTTTGCATTCCCTGTCTACTTAAGATTCGTTTCTACCTTAGCTGGATTCTCTGCCTAAAATGGGTTTTTTTTCATCACTATGGGCTACCACTAGCACAGCAAAGATTACAGTTGTTGGCAACCTGTCAGATTTTTGTACAGTTTTGGCTATGCAGATGCAATGAAGACTTTGTTGAGGTGAAAAAAGCATAAATAATAAAAATCAAACAACTGAGCAGTATATAGAGTATTTTGAACCATTACCATAGCAAGGTACTAATGAAATCTATGTTTTCCCACAGTTGGAGAAATTAGAGTTCCAAGATCCCAGACTTTTGATTAAGCCACAGCATTGATATAACCAACAAAAGTCACCATGACCTAACCAGTCACCGGCAACATTTATGCAAGCTACACAAGTCTATATCAGTTGCATCCAAGAGTCACAGATTAAGATGGAAGTGGTTATAAAAGGTAAAGATGCCATTAACTTCTGAGGCACAGAAAAGTAAACTACCGATAAGGCTATTGGGCTGCATATTTCTAGTCTTTGGCATATATGATGAGAGTCACACCGCTGAAGTGGGCATGCGGTAAACTGCTTAATATTCCACCATGTATTCACAGGTGGCATGGACACAAACCCCATGTGGACACTAGCATAAAATTGTGTGAATGGGCCTTGAAATGTCCTTTAAAAACTTAATAAAACAAGATTACAATTCAGACAGATAATCTGGCTGCATCCAGAGATTTAAACATGACTAGTGTGACTCCGGAGCATGAAAGACAGGAGGGCCTGGCGTGATGTGGTCCATGGGGTCGCAAAGAGTCAGACTCGACTGTGCGACTGAACAACAACAGTGTGACACACCATATCATTGAGTTCCAGAAGTAATCTACCTTTTGGCAGTGGTGGCAAGGGGGAGTGCTATTTGAGAGAGAAAGCCCCAATGTGCACATGGAGATCATAGTACATTCCTCTGGACTGTGGCTGAACATTGTCTTGGGAAACATCATGAAGTTTAAAACAATGGTACATGTTTTCTTCACTTCCACAATCACTAAAATCTGTTATGTTTTAGGAAATCCGATAATGACTAAG